TTATTTTCATACCAAAAACTATACTCTAGTTGGCCCATGTTTGGGTTTAGTTAAAAAGATTGATAAAAAAGGGTGCAAGTTAAATTTTTAACTTAGACCACAACTTTTGTCAAATTTTTAGTAACACCTTTTAACGGCTTATATCAAAATCTATTGAAAATATTATTTTTAGTAAAACCAAACACAAGCTTAATGTCAAAATAAATAATTCATTGGTTTTTAACTTTGACCTGGGCTTGGGCGTTATTTTGTTTGGGTCGATTTCGACTTCAACCCGAAATCAAAATCAAATTAGTCGGTTTGGGTGAATTTCAACACAAATCAACACAATCAGCTCTTAAACCGAACCGACCCAAACCAAATCGATTTGGTTTGGTTTTGTTCGATTAGTCGGTTTGAACTTTTAGTCGTCTGAATTTTGAGTCTACTTATATTACAAGAACTAAAATAACTAGATAACTTTATATTACAAGAACTATTGCGTAACAACATAAAACTTTAGATTTTTTTTTTTTTTTATGTATTATGTAGCCGACTCTGCCTAAGGAGGGAAAAAAAGTCTTAAGTATAACATAATGAGCTTATGAAATGAAATTTCTAGTGCTATTACTTACTAACAATGTCATAGGTTTGAGGGAATTGAGATATAATTATGAGATTATGGCTTATCTTAGGATTTTTATTTTTCTTAAAAAAAAATATAAAATGTAACATGTAAGTGGGTTGGGTTGGTTCGATTAACCAGCGATTTGAGATTTCAAATCATGACTAAACCAACACTCCATGGTTTTGAAAAATAAAAAATAAAAAAATCAAACCAATTACCTGTGTTAGACCCGCCCAAATAGACCCGAGTAGGTTCCATTTGATTGGTTTGATCGATTTTTCTATTTTTTTTGCTCATGCCTGCTTTGACCAATAGCAGAATGATATATTTTAAAGCTTACTTTTCTACAAATAAGTATATTTACTTAATAGTGAATATTTAAACTTTGCCAAACATGTATTAAGCTTGAATGGTACATAGTAAAAGTATTGAGCAACTTCTTGGATTATTAAACACCAAAAATTATTGGGATATTTTCCAGGAAATAGTCGCGTTGGACATTGTCCCAATTTAGCGTGCGTTCTTTGACTTGCATCTAAGAAAATTATTTGCATTTAACATAGGAATAAAGTTATTTATAGTCGCTATTTATCGCTATATATCTGACGATTCATGTGACGACAAACGTCGCATATATTTGGAAACATTCATTTCAATAAATTCTTAGTTCAAGTCTCGTAATTTGAGATTGATCACTTTTGAATAGCCAGACAAAATGTCCGAACCGAATCGAACCGAATCCGAACCGAACTGGACCGAACAGAGCGGATTTTTTTAAATGAAATACNTTATTTTCATACCAAAAACTATACTGTAGTTGGCCCATGTTTGGGTTTAGTTAAAAAGATTGATAAAAAAGGGTGCAAGTTAAATTTTTAACTTAGACCACAACTTTTGTCAAATTTTTAGTAACACCTTTTAACGGCTTATATCGAAATCTATTGAAAATATTATTTTTAGTAAAACCAAACACAAGCTTAATGTCAAAATAAATAATTTATTGGTTTTTAACTTTGACCTAGGCCTGAGCGGGTTTCGACTTCAACCCGAAACCAAAACCAAATTAGTCGGTTTGGGTGAATTTCAACCCAAATCAATACAATCAGCTCTTAAACCGAACCGACCCAAATCAAATCGGTTTGGTTTGGTTTTGTGTGATTAGTCAGTTTGAACTTTTAGTCCAAATTGAATCTTTTTAAAAAAAAGTTGTCTGAATTTTGAGTCTACTTATATTACAAGAATTAAAATAACTTGATAAATTTATATTACAAGAACTATTCAGTAACGAATAAAGTTAGATCAACAGAAAACTTAAGATTTTTTTTATTTTTATTTTTTATGTATTATGTAGCCAACTGCCTAAGGAGGGAAAAAAGTCTAAGTATAACATAATGAACTCGTGAAAGGAAGTTTCTAGTGCTATTACTTACTGAAAATATCATAGATTGGAGGGAATTGAGATATAGTTATGAAATTATTGCTTCTCTTTGGATTTTTATTTTTCTTTAAAAAAAAAAAGCATAAAAGGTAACATGTAAGTGAGTTGGATTGATTTGGTTTACGGTACCAACGGCTTGAGGTTTCAAATCATAACTAACGAACACTTCTTGGTTTGAAAAAATAAAATAAAAAATTAAACCAATTACCTGTGTCAAACCGACCAAAATCGACTGAGCTGGTTCGGTTTGATTGGTTTGATCGATTTTTCGATTTTTTTGGCTCACGCCAATAGTAGAATGATTTATTTTAAAGCTTACTTCATTACAAATAAGTATATTTACTTAATAGTGAATATTTAAACTTTGCCAAACA